CAAGCACACAATCACAACCACCATACATACCGCTCTGCTTCACAAAATATGCTTCCTGCGGGCAGGTAAGGATTTGCTTTGTTGGAAATATAGCCCTGTGCTTTAATTCCAAAAAAAAAAAAAAGCTGGAGAAGGGAGAAGGGGAGGGAGAGGAGGAGGAGGAGGTGGGACTACGCCTTGCTCAAGCCAGTTCTCTCTTCTCATATTTGCATCGCTTTCTCGGTTAACCATTACCAGCTTTGTTCATGGCTGAGCGAGTCTGGCATATCTGAATAATAATGTTGTGGCTACTGAACAGGGAACGAAATGATCTCCCTCTGCGATCCGTTTTCACCAGCCCAACTTTTTTCCCCGAAAGCCGTTTCCTTTGCAACCTCCTTAGGCCCGGAGAATGCGAGGCCCCTGGAGAATACGTGGCTTATAAAACGGGAGAGGGGTGAAGGGAAACCGAGGCAATGCGTCGGATACGGTTTAAGTAACAAATTAATTCTCGAAGGGCGCTCCTTGCCCAGTCTGAAGCCGCGTGTGGGAGGCTGTTGGCCTCGAGAAGTTCCGTGACTTGGAACAAGATGCTTGGACGGTCAATCAGGGCCCGTTGCCTGTTCGTAGCTCTCTTTGTTGAGGCTTTAGCATTTCTGAAGGTCTCGAAATTGGCTCGCGTTTCCAGTTGCAAAGGAAAGGCTGATCATAAGCTGGTTCTTTTTTTATGAGGACAAAATATCCCGTAGAGTTGGACAGATTGTGGCCTCCAGCCAGAGAGGGAAATGCACAGATCCAAGCATCTTGGGAGCTAAATACTTAACCCTCGTGGGTTGTATATTAGAATTTTTTCAGGTTGACCTGAGTCAGGTCAAAACAGTAGCAACCATATCTCACCAGTGATCTGAGGGATCAGAACATGCTTACTATTTTCACACCCAAAAGCACACTTTTAATAGCACCTACCACACTGTTCCTGTCTTGTTTTCTGCCAAAAAATAATGAAGCTGAGCTGGAATTTTATCATGTTTTCATTGTGCTGAGAATCCTGTCGGTTTAAACCTGAAAAATGTATTCCTTTCCAAACCAGGTAGAATTGGCATCAGCCAGTGTGATCAAAAGGAGCATTAGGATTGCAGGGTTCTCTAATGAAAATGTCAACTGAAAGCCTGGGAAAGGTAGAGATTTCCATAGGTTTGATTCAGATGTGCTTCAGACCTGTAAGAGCATAGATCAGTGGTGGTGAACCTATGGCACGCGTGCCAGAGGCAGCACTTAGAGCTCTCTTGTGGGCACACACGCCATGCCCCGGAGATGGCAACCATCCCTCTTCAACCATCCACCTACTAACTCACCAAGGTCCCACGTGGCTGGATGCATCCCAGCATAGCTAATTTCCCTCCCATCCCATCCCTCCTGGCCTCGCATGCTCTCCTTTTCCCAGGCATGACCTATTGCATTGCCTCCTCAGCTGTCGGCCGGCCATCCAGCTCAGAGGCGGCTTCTCTGAACTGCTGGCGATGGGCTGCGGAGCCCCAGAGTGCGCCGGTCGAGGGGCCCCCATGTCAGCCCCCATGCGCTCGCTGGCCTATGTGTGCGGGGGCAATGGTGTCAGGCAGCAGCTGCACCATCCCCTGCCTCACCTTACCCTGCGGCAATGGCACCCCCACCCGGCCTTGCCTCGCCTTGCCTCACCCCACAGGACAAGCCTCCTGCCCATCACCCCACCAGCTAGAGACCCCCCTGAATCTCCCCCAACCCTGCCTGGCCCCACAGGCATCCCTCCCCACGAGCAACATCGAGGTGGCCATGCCCACCTTGGCCACACCCACCCAGTCTGCCATGACCACCACAGCCATGCCCACCCAGTGGGCCACGCCCACCCAATGGGCCACGGCCACCTGACACCCAGCGATAAGTGGGTTTTGGGTTGCAGTTTGGGCACTCGGTCTCTAAAAGGTTCGCCATCACAGGCATAGATAGTTTAAAAATGGCATTAACTTCAATGAGGAAGCCTGAATAAAGAGACAACCCTTTAATGAGTAGTGTATTAATCAGAATAGAGCTGGAAGGGACCTTGGAGGTCTTCTAGTACAACCTCCTGCTCAAGCAGGAGAACCTATAATCATTTCAGACAAGTGACAGTCCAGTCTTTCATTAAAAACCTCCAGCGATGAAGCACCCACAACTTCTGACAGCAAACTGTTCCACAGTTTTCCTTACTGTTAGGATAGGAAGTTTCTCCTTAATTCCAGGTTGCTTCTCTCCTTGATTAGTTTCCATCCTCGTATGATGTCCCAAGCAACTCTGAATTATTTTCAAAGCCTGCCTAGCTCTTGCATGTATGTTTCACCTGTTTGGGTGAATATTTGAGCTATGTAGGACTTTAGGTTCAATTTCCAAAGGGCAGTTTGGGAGTACACAGGAGTGAGTCTTAACATCAGAAGTCCCCTACCTTTTGGGCACCAGGGACTGGTTACGTGGAGAGAGATTTTTCCACGGACCAGAGGGGGCATGGTTTTCTGTGCTGCCTACATCCTGTGGATGGAGCTTTGCTTTTGCTGGCATGCTGCGGCCCAGTATTGGTCCATGGACTGGGGGTTAGGGACCCCTGATCTACATCATTTCAAAAGTTGTGCTTTCTTTTTGGTTGCACAAGTTTTGTGGAAACCTAGAAAGACTCTGTGCTGGTCTAAAGTGTTGCTACATTTATATCCCTCTTCCCCCTTTTTCAGTTTTGCTAATTGAGGTGCATAGCTCTTATACCTCTGAATTGTATTGGAAAGGAATCTTTGTAAACAGCATAGCACTTAATGAATGAAAAATGTTAATTGCATATAATGTGCTCTGAATAGCTCTCTTTCATTTAATAAAGATGAGAGCTTTGTGTTGATCACAAGGAGAGATTCCCACAAGATGGTCCAGTGTTTTCAACTTTGACAACTTTAAGATGTGTGGAATTCAGTTTCCCAAATTCCCCATCCTGGATGGGTGGATGCGGAATTCTGGGAGTTGAAGTTCACTCATTTTCCCATTTTAAAGTTGCTACAATTGAAAAACACTGGGATTGTCATTCTTAAATGAAAGGAGAAGTAACAGTTGTTTTGGACATATCCATCAATCAATAAAGACCATCTTATTTGTCTCTTGAGAAACCTATATGCGGGTCAAGAAGCAACAGTAAGAACTGGACACGGAACCACTGATTGGTTCAAAATTGGGAAAGGAGTCCGGCAAGGTTGTATTCTGTCGCCCTGCCTATTTAACTTACTGTATATGCAGAACACATCATGAGAAAGGCAGGGCTAGATGAATCAAAAGTTGGAATTAAGATTGCCGGGAGAAATATCAACAACCTAAGATATGCAGATGATACCACTCTAATGGCAGAAAGTGAAGAGGAACTAAAGAGCCTCTTGATGCAGGTGAAGAAGGAGAGTTCAAAAGTTGTCATGAAACTCAACATTAAGAAAACCAAGATCATGGCATCTGGCCCTCTCAATTCCTGGCAAATAGATGGGGAAGAAATGGAGGTAGTGACAGATTTTATCTTCCTGGGCTCCAAGATCACCGCAGATGGGGACTGCAGCCAAGAAATTAAAAGATGCTTGCTCCTGGGGAGGAAAGCTATGGCAAATCTAGGCAGCATACTAAAAAGCATCACCCTGCCAACAAAAGTATGTATAGTCAAGGCCATGGTTTTCCCAGTTGCAATGTATGGCTGTGAAAGTTGGACCATAAGAAAGGCTGAGCGCCAAAGAATTGAGGCCTTTGAACTATGGTACTGGAGAAGACTCCTGTGAGTCCCCTGGACTGCAAGGCAATCAAATGGGTCAGTCCTAGAGGAGATCAACCCTGACTGCTCTTTAGAAGGCCAGTTCCTGAAGTTGAAACTCAAATATTTTGGCCACCTAATGAGAAGGAAGGACTCACTGGAGAAGAGCCTAATGCTGGGAAAGATTGAGGGCAATAGAAGAAGGGGACAACAGAGAATGAGGTGGCTGGAGGAGTCACTGAAGCAGTAGGCGTGAGCTTAAATGGACTCCAGAAGATGGTAGAGGACAGGAAGGCCTGGAGGAACGTTGTCCATGGGGTTGCGACAGGTTGGACATGACTTTGCAACTAACAACAACAATCAATCAATAAATGATTCAACATTATTTTAGCCCCCTGGACTCATTTACTGTGAGATAGGTGGCAAATAAATTCAATAAATAAAAATACATAAATAAATTTCTAATGGGGGCTGCTTCAGGGCAAGGCAGGTTTGCAGTGCAGTTCTTGTATGAATTCCATGTCCCCTACATTGAAATCAGATTTTATAGGTTAATCACACAAAGTGGGCATGACCCAAAACCATGTTTCTTGCTTAGAATTACTATTTCTAAAACTTAATTAAAATATGCAGGCTTTGTAATGGTCATACATGGTTTTGCCAGAAATACAAATTGGTTGCTTCCAGCCCCCAAAACAACTATTTCCCCCACCCCAAAGATGGGATTTCAGATTACCATTGGGTGACCTGAATGACATAAATCAATTGCCTAAAATGCAACTTCCAATAAGTGGATGCCATTCATTCCTACAAGAAAAGTAGCATAGCTATCATTACAGCTATCACTATAAAAAGCTCAAGTCTCATTAGTAAAGGTGTGCAGATTCAATTACAGTTTTGTTTGCATCAACCTTGTGAACTCTCAAATTTCCTCTTTCAAATGAATTCAAAATGGACAGTGATTAATATTTATATGTTAATGTGTATATGTGTGTTATGTATGTGTATAGGCAGATATATACTTTTTTTGAGAGCAGGCAACAGAATTTCATTTTTAATGGGGGCCAGTGTGCTCACAGTAAAAAATGACAATAAGGGCTATCTTTTACCATTGAGAGAACATTCCATTGGACCAGAGTATATTTGTACTGCTTTTGGCAGAACGTTGGAGTCTTGTTACCATTACACAAGACACACCTGGTAACTCACTGTTGCTCAACACAACTGTCCCATTTCAGATGAGTAACAGAACCAAGTTGATTATAACAGCTATTCTGTATTGAAATCATGGTATGTATCTTTTTGCAAACAGTTTCTCCCTCTTTTGCCTGAATCCTAGAAAAAGCGTTGTGAGTATTGCAAAAATGATTTCTCTGTTAGCATTAGGAGAAATATATGCTATGATTTCGGTCCTGTATAGACTTATATGTACACTACTTCCATTGAATTTATGGAGGGAAATAGTTTTAATTGTGCTGTGAAACAATATTGCACACCCGTGTTTAAATTATTTTTAGATTTTATGGAGTGTTTTTAATAATATGCTAATAATATCTCAAACTTTACTGAATGATAAACATTACTTGAAATTATTTAGGTTTTCATAAGCAGACCTTTTCAGATGTATCTAGCTTCATCCTTGGCCAATTATATACAGAACAATATATAAACATATAATTTTTATATGAAAATAATAATATCTGAAAAATAATGAAAACCCTCCATTTTTATTCTATGGTAAACAAAGAACTCAATATATTACTAAGGCTAAATTATGTTTATGTTCTAACGAGCTATTACTCTCACATAATATATTAAGGTAACATGTTCTTTTAATGTAAACTTTTCATATAATATTAAGTAGTTACTGTTTCCCACTGGGGCAGTATCTTTGAAATATTCCTTTCTAACTCACATACTCAGTTCTGAAGTGTTTATGTGCCTATGTGGTCAATACAGCTGCTTTTTGGTTATTACTGAAATTTTCATTATCAAGCTTATGGGTCTGCAAATACATGTCTTATACATAGATTTATTTTTCACTATAGAGAGTTCAATAGCACTTTTATTTTCTATCTGTAGTCACAATATGTACACTTTTGTAGCCCTTTGAGAAAGCTATGTATAAATTCTGAATAATATCTGTATGCCTTTCAGCGTATAGATATTGTATGTTTTCAGTCTGAAATCTGAAACATTTCTATTGAAAACTCGTGTTAAATTTGAATGGTTAGTAAATTAATTAGAAAATGAATTATGTAATAATTAAGTGAATTAAGTCACATACTTATCTTACTCTTGTATTAATTGAGCTACAGTTGACTTTTGAGTATGTATTTGTGCTATCATGTAATTTAACGTGCAAACACTAATAGACTCGTTTGAATATTAGTATGGAATAAAAGTAAAAATAAGCCAATTTTGTAATGTCCAGTTCAGTATACACATGTCAAGTACAGGTAGTCCTTAATGGTAATCAGGATAAACAATTTCCATTGCTGATTGATGCAGTCACAAACTGTTACTGTGCTTCTTAGCAAGGCGCAGTTTTGGCAGTCACGTGACTGTGCCTATTATCAATGGCAGTTCTGGCAGTATCCAGTTATTGTCATTAAGTGAGGACTTCAAATGACCATGACTTTAAATTTTCTGCCAACTTCTTTTACTTTGCTTGTGGAAGCTGGTAAGAATAGGCATAACTCGTGTTCACATGACTGTCACATGCTAAGACGAAATCTGAGCCAGTTGATAAGTGCCCAGATCGTAATCATGTAACCATGGGAGCACTGCACTGGCCATAAGTTTGAGGACCAGTCATATCTACCACTCATTCAGCACACTTGCAAGTTCAAACAGTCACTGAAAGAATGGTTATTAAACAAGAACTGCATATCTTCAAGTAAATATGTTACTGTTACTTTCTTTCCATTCTGATTCATCTGTATCTTCTTGTTTTTCCTAGCCTTTTGTATCTAATATTTATTACCCATTTCCGCTGCCTACATCTCGACATTATTGGATAGATATGCCAGGTTCCACGTTTCCTGTGAACTTCCAGCGCACCTGTGATCTTTCGGGCAGCATGCTAGCCAACCCTTCTGTAATCCCAGCCTTTAAATTCCAGCTGCGGCGAGAAACCATTGACTGGAGGCGATTCAGTGCCATTGATGTGGAACGGGTAACTCGTGAGCTGGATATTGGCGCTCTTCAGGAAAATATCAATGGTGTCACCTTTTGTAACCTTGATGCAGAAAAGTGCCCCTATTGTCAGCAGCCAGTAGACCCTGTTCTCCTTAAGGTTCTGAAGATGGCCCAACTGACCATCGAATATTTGTTGCACTCTCAGGAGTTCTTAAGTATGAACTTGGCACTCCAGGAGGAGCAGCACCAGGCAGTCCTTGAAGACTGCAAGCGTATCAAGTATGACCTGGATAAGCAAGCAGAAGAATTAAAGGGGGTGAAGGAAGAGAGCAGGAAACGGAAAAAAATGATTGCCACCCAACAGCTGCTCTTGCAAGCTGGAGCCAACAACTACCACAAGGTGAGGTTTAGGTACAGCAAATACATGAGAAATTTATTCAGTCTGTATTTTAACACAAAATGTGCATAATTTTTCAGAGATGCACTGAAATTTGGCAATTTCTCTTCTCAATTCTTCCAATGGAGGAAAAAAAAGCCATAGAAAAATGCATACATCATTGAAAATGCAGCATTATGAGGAACCACAGAGGTTGGTTCTTTCCTCTATCCTATTTAACCTCTACATGAAGCCACTGAGAGAGGCCATTTGCCTGTTTAGGGTGAGGTATCATCAATATGTTGAAGACGCTCAGGCTTAGCCAAACAAAAGAGAGTAGCTTGTTATACAAAAGCCTCTTATTTCTGGATAAGTACCAACTTTGCTTCTGAGTGGAATAGTGCTGTCTGCCTGTCTGAGCAAAGCAACAGGGTATCTACTGAAAGTCCTCACTGTTGTGTGGTACAATCATGTCAGAAAGTCATGAAGCAAACATTCTTTGTGGAATTCCCTCTTTTGGAACAACTTTGCCCTAGAAATTAGGGAACCCCCTGTTGCCTTCTGAATGTCGCAGAACAGAACAGCCTTATGAAGTACCCAAATTCATCTAAATGTGGCAATTATGTGTATACAATTTTCTTTGCAACCATACAGAAAAGGTTTGCCATTATCTTCTTCCCAGTTGATGCTGAAATTCCTTATCATAGTTAGTTTCCCTAATACCCACAGAGCTTGTTCTAATCTTATCCTTCATGTGGATTGGTTCTTAGTTTTCTGCTCTCATTTCAATCTTACTTTTTCAGCATATCCCACTACATTTATTTAAACTTTCAGAAGTTCACAGATGTAAATAAAGTCACATTTAGGCCCATTTAGCACCCTGTTTTCACAGTTAAGATTGTGTTGAACAGCACATGTTTCTGACCATTATTATGCAGTGCTGTAAGAGTGCAGTCTTTGAATACATAGGACAATATTACAATTTGAGCAGTTATTGGTAGAAGAAATATATTTAAAATTCTTTTTAAAGGACCCATAATAGATAAAATTGATTAAAATCCCTAATAACTGTTTATTAGAGATTGACATTTGAAAAACAGGAACTGTCCTAAATAATAATGACATCTGAAACAAATGCAATTGCATTATTCTAGGAAATATAAAAAAAAACTTTGTTTTTCTTCCACTGCTTCAAAGATTGGGAATATCAGTTTGAATAAAAAGCTTCAAATTACCCTAATAATCCAAGATTCAGAGCTATTTTAAGTGTATAGCAAATATGATCCTAGGTTAAGGTTGGAGTTGAACTAAAAACCAGTAGTCCTTGACCTACGACCACAATTGGGCCCAAAATTTATGTCGCTAAGCAAGACATTTGTTAAATGAGTTTAACACCATTTTAGGACCTTTCTTGCTACAGTTGTTAAGTGAATCACTGCAGTTGTTAAGTTAGTAGCACAGTTTTTGAGTGAATTTCGCTTCTCCATTGACTTTGCTTGTCATAAAGTCACAAACCGTGATCACGTGACTCCCGTCATAAATATGAACCAGTTGCCGAGCATCTGAATTTTGCCCATGTGACTGTGAGGATACTGCAACAGTCATAAGTGTGAAAAATGGTCATGTCAATTTTTTCAGTACTGTTGTAACTTTGAACAGTCACTAAATGAATAGTTGTAAGTCAAGGATTACCTGTACTCTTGTCCCATATGTATTTTACAGCACTAGGAAAGATAAATAAATGGAGCAGAGAATGAGAACTACTTGGAGAAATTTTTCTACCATCGGACCACATGCTTAAATCTGTTTTTAGATGACTTTTCGTCCTTCTGTTTGTTTCTTAGTGCCAGCTCTGTGACAAGACTTTCATGAATTATTCCTTTCTACAAGGCCACATGGAGCGTAGGCATCCTGAGGCCACTGCACTTGGTAAGCACTAAGTTTGCCTGAATCTTTCTCCTATGGAGGGAATTCCAAAGGTTTAGGGTTGGGGGGTGAGAGGGAGAGGTTTGTTTATATCCACTTTCAGAGTACAGAGAGGAGATACATTGTGTGAAGCTAAATTAATGTAGATTTTAATATAACAAAGCATTTGCAATGAATCTGATACTGCCATAATGCCCAAACCACTGTGTATCTATCTTTACATAAAGGTAAAATGGACCTGATGTGGCCCTGAGTAGGAAATATTTGTAAACTTTTCGAATCACTATATCCTCATCACAATTTTTATTTGTAATTTAAAATGTAAATTAAAGTTTGGAAATTTAGACTGTTATTTGTAGCATCTTGTCAAATTTTGGAGACTTACATTTAAATTGGTCCCTTCCAACTGTGTTATTCTATTCTACTCTGTTCTGTTCTGTTCTGTTCTATTCTATTCTATTCTATTCTATTCTATTCTATTCTATTCTATTTGCCATGAATATTTTTTTTATTCTTTTTATTTTAGTGGCTATATACTTAACTTCTTTTGTCTTGAAATAGAAAATACCAATTCATTTTTGAAAAAATGAAAATGGTTCAAAATTACAATTTATCTTTGTTTTCTCTGCATTGTGAATTATCTATTATCTATTAATATCTATTATCTATTATCTCTTATTACCAATTTGTATTCCACCTTTATTATTTTTATAAATAACTCAAGGTGGCAAACATACCCAACAAACCTTTCTCCTCCTATTTTCCCCACAACAGCAACCATGTGAGGTGGTTGGGCTGAAAAAGCATGACTGGCTCAAGGTCACCCAGCTGGCTGTCATGGCTAAGGTGGAACTAGAACTCATGGTGTCCTACTTTCTAGCTTGGTGCCCTAACCACTAACCAAACTGCCTAAAAGTTTGCAACCTTTGTTACAGAATGCATCTCCATTCTTGAGAAATAATTTAGCATAAAAATCTTGTACAATCTTGACGTGATGGCCCGGTGCCTGGAGGCCGTACGGGTCTGGATGGGGAGAAACAGACTCAGGCTCAACCCTTCCAAGACTGAGTGGCTGTGGTTGCCGGCTCCCCGGCATAGTCAGCTGACTCCGTCGCTGACTATAGGGGGCGAAACTTTGGCTCCCTCGGAGAGGGTGCGCAATCTGGGTGTCCTCCTGGATCCACGGCTGACACTAGAAGACCAGTTGACGGCCGTGGCCAGGGGGGCGTTTTACCGGGTACGCCTGGTTCACCAGTTGCGGCCTTTTCTGGACCGGGACG